AGAACTATCATTTCAAAAAGAGAGGTCATTTTAACATTAGAAAAGAATATAGAAACTCAAATCCCTTGAATTGCATAACAATAACTTGAAAAGCCATACATTTTTCTCTCATTTTTCTTTGCTTAGAACTAGCAAAGATATTACTGTTATTAAAGAGTTAACACAATTTTAGACTGTAAACACAAGTGTACAGTTTGAATTAAGGAAAGGGATAATTTCACTACACTGCATTCAGACCATAATTACAGAATTAAATATAAAAACTAGACCAGAACAAAAAGAACAGAACTGACAAAACTAAATCTAGGTGACAACTGATGAGAAAGGTAAAGGAAACAGTATCATATGAAGTTGTAAGGTTATCGTATTTAATTTAGAAAAGCGAAAACCTGGCCAAGAAATACCTTATTGTATTGTATTGTATTGTAATCTTCCTCTTATGACAGAACTATAACCAATGAGGAGAAGTTACATAGTAAAGCAGACGCCAGCTCGATTTAATTATGATCTTCCTATTGTACTTTCCAGAAGCTAAATGAGACATCCTATGCCTCTTTGTTCATGAAAGTGTTGTTCTTGGAGAAATTGGATTCAGTAAGACCTCAGGGATATGAGCAGTAGTAGAAGGTACACTGCACCAGATAACTCTAAGGTCTCCTCTAATTCTAAAGTTTTGTGAATCAGAAAAGAGTATAGTTTGCTTTTTCTTAATTTACCAAAAAGGATGAGTGGAAAGAATTTGGGCTTTTGTCAAAAAGACAAAGGTTCAGTTATAGGGTCTACCACTTAGTAATGCATGACAGAGAGACAAAATTATTCACTAACTCTAGGCTTCAAATATTCTCAAATTTAAATGTGTAAATTTATACCTTATATACAAGACTATTGCATGAATTACACACACACACACACACACACACACACACAGGCATACGCACTGCCTGACACATAGTAGGTTTGAAGACGTGGTAGATATTAGTCATTTATTCATTAAATATGTTCCAAAGGGTAATATTCTATATTAGTTATTGCTTATTGATATAATCAAATAATGACATTCTCTGCTATGTCTCATATTGTTTCTTAAACCTAAGCAATGCATACTTGAGATTCTTTTCCACTTTCATGTTCTGTACAATCCCTATTTGTAGGTAAGTAATTTTTTAAGGTTTTCTTTAACCTTGCTTTTGTTCATTTCCTTTCTACCTTTGTTTGACATAAAAGAGGGCTTTACCTTCAGTATATATTGACCATGTCATTCATTTTGGCCAAAAAAAAGTAGAACATAGATACACTCTTGCATAATCATTTACCTAGACCAGACTATCTGTCTAGTTTAATCAATTCTACTACCAGACAGATGTCTTATTCTTTTGTATTGCCCATACTGGCTAGCTCAGTCCCTCAAAAAATTTAAGTAAATAAATTAAATCCCATTTCACCAAGGGTAGTTGATTATTGGAAATCTTGATTATTAACGTAAGTTTATGAAATAAGGATGGTGTGAGTTTCTCCCCATCAGAAGAAATTCATTTCTTACTGAAACATAGCAACACTCAACATTTTCCTCCATATTATCTACCCACCAAGGATTTTTCAGATGGTATCTAATTGTTTTTTGTTATATTTCCGTAATAATTTGCAACTGTACAGATATTTTAGTTGGCAATTCAGTACATTGCTGTCTGTTAGTTATTTGAATAGGACACTGCTTAAAACCCCAATGTTCACGATAGAGAACAAAATCAATCATTACAAATTCAAATACTAAAAATTATTTTATGGGAGTATAATTCTGTTGAATAAAAAATGTTAACAAGTTTAAACATAGGCAGTATTCAGTACTAGATGAGTGGTGTCTGATTACTATCAGATGCAACAATAAAACTTCAGTGTTTTATAACTGAAAAAAACTGACACTTGGAAGAAAACAAATCACTAAGCATAGAATTTTAAAAAACACTTTAATATTTGCATTAGTGAGTATAATATATAACTTTATAGCATAAATGTCATTATTCTAAGGCTAAGATAGAAAACATGCAGATGGTTATTTCCAAAGTAATTGAGAACAATGAAACTTACCAATAAAATACATTTAAAGTTTCACTTAATATAACTCCACCCGCTGAATTTAGTTAGATTATTTTTAAGTAAGCTAAAATTTAAAGGGGCATATCTAAAAAGTCTACTAAAATGCAAAGTAGAATTAAAGGGTAAGATTATAAAGCAAAAAAAAGCACTTTGTCAAAAGCAACTAAATGAAAAAACAAATTTTGATAAAAAGTTAGATTTTTTTTCCTCAAAAGTTAATTTGAGAATAATGTAATTCACTAATTGAAGAAAAATGAATTTCACAGGTTCCTGTTACATGGCAATTTTACTTTTAACAGAGCTTACAGAGTTCATCATGCCATAAAATACTACTGAATATCATGACATAATATTAAAATATGGTTACTAATAAGTAGTAGGGAAAAACTTCCAAAAGTTTTTTTTCTTATGAAAAGCCCATGTTATCGCTTCTCAGCCTTTTGGTTAAGATCAGGTGTGAAAAGCCCATGTTAGAGCATCTTTACTTATATTGTAAGTTAATTTATAATAACAAAGTTCCAATTCAGTAGAATTATCTTTGCATCACAAGGAAAAGGACTAGGTTAATATAACTAGGGTTATCAATGAACTTGATTGTTAAGGACAACTCAAGGAGCACGTGGAGAAGCTTTCCACAAATTTTCACAGGCTAGGGGGACTAAGGGACAAAACCAAAAGAGCCCACTGGAGGAACAGATCTTGGTTTTATCTGGCTCTGCCTTTCAACAGCAGTGACGCTTGGACAGACAATTCAGTTAACTTTCCACGTTTCAGTGTCTTCCTCTATGTCAAGTGCACTTAGATTCTTGAGTTTTTAAAATACCAAAATCCTGTAATATCCACAAAGTTAGGAAGGATGAAAAACAGCACTGGTTTTACTTTTCTCAAAGTAGAAAGATAGAAAATTATTTGTACCTTGCAACTGAATTACTAAATTTTTGAAACATATCCAGCTGGGGTTGTATCAGTGAAGATCTAGATACAGTATTCACAATGTAACTCTCCTCCCCCATTATCCGTCCACCTGCTCCTCCCCATCCTGCTTCATTCTTTCTTCCGCTTGTCTTAACGCCAGCAAACGGTTGTAAGCATTGAAAGCTTAAGATGAAATCATTTTAAAAGATGCATTTTTGAATCAACGATCATCTGCCCCACCACATTTCTCCCAAATGAGTGAATTTTCATTAAGAGAAGGAAAGCATGAATAAACAAAATCAGAAACAGAAATGTACCGGGCTCGCTTTTTGTTTTGACTGCTCAAAAAAACAAAACCGAAAGATAGAGCCTAGTCTATTCCCTTAGGAACAGGAACGCGTTACCCACCCAATGAAAAAACAATTCTGCTGGTTCATTTCCTTGCTACACAACAGCCTCGTCTTCGAGCCCTTTCTAAGTCCAGTCTTCAGAGCCATCTAATAATGTGTTTATCACCTTGGCAATGCTTGGACAGGCACCGTCCCTGTCTTCCAGGGCTTACATTCTTCAAATAAATCCCTAAAGCCCTACTAAACACCACCCTTCCCGCCCCCTTTAACCCCCCCCCCCCCCCGGGGTTCCATAACTTAGGACACAAATCCCACGTCTTCCCGCCCTGTGTCAGGCATAAAACGAAGGGAAGCACACCAAAACCCCACATTTGAATCTTAGGACAATGAAGCCGAGAGGAAGCCACTCTCTCCTCCCCCGGGTTTACTACCGAGCCGGAGCCAGCGCGGGTGCAGTCGCCTGGCAGGGTGCGTGACACCACGTCTTCCACGCCCTCCAACCGCGTCCAGAGGGCGCCTGGCCTGACCTCCCCGCCAAGCCGCCCCACATCCCCTAAACCAACCTCACCAGAAAGCCCCGCACTGTTAGCTGCTCCGGTCGGGGAAAAATCCCTTCCCCAGCTGCAGCGCAGCCATTCGCTCCAATGCTCCGCCCGCACCCGTAGCGAGCTGCTCCGGCGCAGGGGGAGGGCTGCACAAAGCCGAGAGACGGCTGAAAATGGTTCAAGACATTCTCGGGAAGAGGAGGCGGCCAAGGGCCCGGAGGGACTGCGGGTGGGGCTGGGGGCAGGGTGGGGGAGGGGAGGGGCGGGAGCCCCGGGTTGGGGGGGGCGCCGCGTGGAAGCGCCCCCTTCGCAGCCGGGCCCAGCAACCTCGGCCGCGCCCCGAGCCGCCGCTGCAAACCCGGGAGGATGTAGGGAAGCAGCGGCAGCAGCGGCGGCAGCGCCTAACCCGAGCCGCTGAGCGCATCACTTACCCCTCACCGCTGAGAGAGGGACCGGACGGGGGAGGCGGGGCGCGTCGCGTCCCGTGAGTCTCTCGCACGCCGTCCTCCCCCCACCCCGTCGTCGTCGTTGCCGCTGTCGTCGTCGTCGTCGCTGCCGCTCCGGTCGATCTCCCGGCCCTGAGCTCCGCTGGGCAATAACGTTATTCCACACACGCCCCGCACATAGCGGTAACGGCAAAGAGCGGCCGCCCAGTGCGCAGGCGCCTGAGGAAAGGGCGAGGAACCCGGCCCTATCCCCTCAGCCGGCCCAGTCCCAGCGATCTCTTACTGCGCAGGCGCCAAACGCAGACAATGAAAAGGGACTGTGCGGAGGGTCTCACCCAAAGGCTTCTCCAGCGGCCTATTGCGCAGGCGTGCTCCAAAGACCAGCTTGAACAATGAAGAGGATTCTGGCGTTAGCCGGGACTGCAACTAAAAAGGACTACAGTTCCCAGAGGGCAGTGCGCCAACTCCAAGTGGAAGTCTCGCTGCTGGGCATGCTAGGATTTGTAGTGTCGGATGCCTTCAAAATCCAGGCTGTTTGGGAGATTTAAAGCTTCTTTTTCTTGAGAATTTATTTGGCTGTTTTGGCAAATGGTCGCGGCTGAAAGACGACGAGCTTGTTATTTGTGTCCTTGAGAAGACTCAAGGACCAAGCAGACTTAGAAGAATCAAGGCCTTCAGGGAGCTCTTTCTGTCGGTCGGGTGGTCCAAACAGCAGGATGGGATAAAGGCAGAACTAAGCCAGCCTGGGCTACAGAAAAAGGGCGGAGCCTCCAAGCAGTCTCTTGGCAACCGGATCTGGCCGCCAAACCGCCAAAGCTTGTGGCGCGATGTCCTCTGGGAATTGTAGTATAGTTGGAGGGACATTTTAGGAGCCTCGTGACTGCAGACCCACGGGCTGCGGACTACAACTCCCGACGTCCACCATAAGGGCCACTGGGTGGGAAGGGCCCCCGGCGAGCTCTGTCCGGGGTTCCATGCTCCCCAATGACAGCAGCGGCAGGAAGCAGGCGGGCGCTTCTCCGGCGCCAAGGCCTCCTGTTCCCAGAGGGGCGACACTGGACACTTCCCCACGTGACTCCCATCTCTTGGTCCCAGGTCCGTGCATGGCGAAGTCCCCGGAGAACTCTACCCTGAAGGAGATTCTGGGGGAGTATCAACGGAGTCTCCGGGGTGAGTTGCGCCGAACCTCTGCGCCCTAGCCCCTGGGTCCCAGGGCCTAGTGGGCGGGAGCTGGCCAGGTGCGTTTCCTAACACCTCGGTTCAGCCCCAGCCAGGACGCAGAGGAAGAAGATGGATGGTGCTGTGATCCTTGAGCAGAAATGAAATAGTTTGCGTTTGTTTTTACCGTGAAGCAGTAAGTTTCCCCCTTGATTCCCATAGTTATCTGAACCAACTCCCTGAGCTTGACATAGGCATCGTTCTCACCCAAGGCCAGCAGAAACTTTTGGGTGGCTCCAGTCCACTCTTGCCCACATCCCTAATTTTAATCCAGTAAATTCCTGATTCACGCTTTTCACACATTAAGGTAGTGGTGTAGGCTGCTGAATGTGATTTATCGGACCACGTAAACGAAAATACTAATTATTTTAATCACAAAAGCTTCCATTTAGTGGTCTAAGCTATTTACATACATCAAATCATTTTAAACTCACAGCAACGTTATGAATATCCCTCTTTTACACCTGGAGAAATCAAGGTGGAAAGAGGTTGAGTTAGCCCAAAGTCCACACAGCTGGTTAGTGGCAGAACCAGGTATTAAATTCAGTCACAACTGACTGCCTTAAAAGCCCGTTTTTTTCTTTATTAATCATGTTATGGTTACTATTACTGATACCTTATTTGGTTAATTCAGATTTTTTTTTTTTAAGATTTTATTTATTTATTTGACAGAGAGAGATCACAAGGAGGCAGAGAGGCAGGCAGAGGGAGAGGGGGAAGCAGGCTCCCCGCTGAGCAGAAAACCGGATGCGGGGCTGGATCCCAGGACCCTGAGATCATGACCTGAGCTGAAGGCAGAGGCCTAACCCACTGAGCCACCCAGGCGCCCCTAATTCAGATTTTCTTAGTGTCATTAGGGATCAATGAGGCTTTATAGGAGTGATGTTTGTACTTATCAATAGTTCTGTCGTCTTGGACATCCTATATACTATCTGGAAATCTCAGTACTATTATTTTAAAGAGGAAGTTATGGTATTATCTACAGGTTTATTTGTGAGGAGCGAATGAAATAATACACATAAAGCACTGATTTTTCAGCTTTTAAAAAAATTGTTACCCATTGGTAAATACATTTTATGTGGGACATATACATATACATATAAAAGTTTCACTGGAGAATATCTACTAAATGTAATACACTCTATTCTTTTGCATTTTCTTAACCCTTTAGATCATAACCAGCAGGGTTTTTTTTTTTTTTTTTTAAGATTTTATTTATTTATTTGACAGAGAGAGAGAGAGTGAGCATGAGCAGGGCTAGGGTCAGAGGCAGAGGGTGAAACAGACTCCCTGCTGAGCAGGGAGCCGGATGTGGGACTCCATCCCAGGACTCTGGGATCATGACCAAAGCAAATGCTAAATTGACTGAGCCACTCAGGTGCCCATGACCAACAGTTTAAAAAAATTATTTAAAGTGTTTAGACCAATGAGTCACTTAAAAATGTCGTAGAACAATGAGTCACTTAAAAATGTTGTGGCTACTATGTATAACGCATGCTTGGTGCTGGGGATACAATAAAGAGGTAGACAGTCTCTGTCCACACGGAGCCTCTGCATTGTGGGGGAGAAAGACAATAAACAAAATAATTACAGATAATTGTGATAGAGAATAAGGGTAAAGAGTAGTGCTTGGCACATAAGAAGCACTCGCTAAAAGTCCGCTGCTACTTATAATTGGTTCTTGCAGCAAAGTGAAGATTTTTTGAGGAGATGAGAAAGTTTATCTTCTAGTGACTCTAGATTTTGTAAGCGTTATTATGTATTGTTTCCATATGTCAACAGTGTTGTAAACTGTCAACATTCTCAATATTCAAATTGTAAGAATAAAATAATTTGTCTTGATAAATACTCTCTTCAGTCTACTGATGTTTCAGAAGCTGTTAGATACAAAAATAACCACTTCTGACTTTTCATTTGAAAGCAAGAGGTGCACTGTGCACAATGATAACGAGTGATTTTTTTGAGGCTGGTAAAAATTTGTTTTTAGTTATAAGTTTCTGCTAATACTTTGCCTCCTCTTACCTTATTTTGAAACGTTATCTAAACAGTGGGGGCTTAATAGGGCTTTTTAGTGCAATAGGTAGTTAATTTCAAATGAGTGCTGCTTTCAGTAATTATTTAGAGTGGAGAGGTTTCATTCACAGGTGAAACATTTTAAAGTAAATTTTAAGTTTAGCGTGACAACCGTATAAGATCGTAAAAACAGTTATAATCAAAAGCAAACATGAAGCAGAGAAAAAAGTTAAAGTTGGTTTTTTTGTTTGTTTGTTTGTTTGTTTGTTTGTTTAAGTGATGGCTTGACAGTGAAACAAGAAATGGAACCTGACTTTTTTGGTGGGTTTTCAAGACTTATTATTTATTTAGTAGCATTTTAACTTTTATGTGTGGTTTATATAATAGTTTATGGAAGGAAATAGCTAATCCTGAGTTAAAGTATAGTCAGAAGTTCTTTGCTGCACACATATAAATTAGGCCTTTTGAATAGGATAATTCCCTTTGAAGTCAAAATGTGTGCTTCTGAATAAACAAAGTATGGTGGCATTATTTTCCATGTGGAATTTCATTATTTAAGTGTTTGTGCCTAGTGACTTGAGAACTTGTTACTATACAATCAGATAAAACACAATTTGAAGTTCTTTTGTTTTATTTTGTTTTGGTTTTGTTGCTTTGTTTGGTTTTGTCTATCTGCCATTACTTCCCCAAAATGTTTTGCCTAGTTCATGTTTAAACAAAGACTAATAAGTATTCTTGGTCTTTCCTCACATGTTATTCCTCTGGTTCCTTCATAATTGTACGTGTAATTATTATTAATATCCCTTCATTTATATTCAGCCAGCAAGTAGCCATATAAAAATGCAAAATGCTTTCACAGTTTTCTACGCTAATTCCTTATTTTTAGAGCTTTTTCTCATTACTTTAAATGTAATTTTAAGTACCTTTATAGTATATTAAGAATTTGATTTTTGTTTTGTTTTGTTTTGTTTTTCCCCTTAAGGCTTTATTTTATTTATTTGTGAGAGAAAGTGAACGAGTGCACAAGCAGTGGGAGGTCCTGATGTGGGACTTGATCCCGGGACCCTAGGATCAGGGCCTGAGCCCAGGGCAGACACTTAACCAACAGATCCACCTAGGCATCCCAAGGATTTGAAGTTCTGATTTGAAAGGCAGAGTCAAAGCTACTTTCTTTTATTTTTATTTTTTAAAGATTTATTTATTTGAGAGGTTGGGGGGCAGAGGGAGAGAAAGAGTGAGCATCTCAGAGCTGAGCAAGGGGCTCAATCTTACTACCCCGAGATCACCACCTGACCTGAAACCAAGATTTGGGGGTTTAAACAAAGGCACCACCCGGGTGCCTGTGCTTGCTTTCTTTTAAAACCGAAGTGCAATTCTTACTTCTCCTTGACTCATGACCTTAAGCAGCTGTGAAAGGAGGGAACCCACTGGCAGACTTCACACTCCCTTCTTACCCTTCCCTTCCTTATACTTTTCAGATGTACTCACTCTTTATCTCTTGCTTTGGATCGTTTGTGCCCTCATTGTAAGAAATTAGAGAGAAATAGTGATTTCCCTTCAAAGTAAGGCTTCATTGCCCCACTGTTCCCCCCCCTTCCCCCAAAGTAAGGCTTCATTGCCCCACTGTTCCCCCCCCTTCCCCTCACTGCTCTGCGATACTATTGCTTCACAGCAGACGATCTGAAAGATTCCAGTGTGGGGAAAACAGGTACCTTGGGAATCATGGAGTTGAATCGAGAGGTGGAAGTGACTTGGAGGTCTCCTGCAGGACGGTTAGGTACTCATTCTCTTTACAGCGAATGTAGGCAGCTAGCATTAAGGATTGATTGAGAACTATATTGGGAACTGGGGAGAGTAGCAAATACCCCTCCTCTCATTTAAATCCACCACATCATTGTACAAAGGCCACGAGGTATAAAATAAACTAGCCTGTAGCCAAGAAAGGGTCAGAAAAACCAATGTAACAGGGAATCCAGGCTGTTCTAAGTTCTGTGCCCTGAATGTAGGAATATGATAATAGAAAGGAGAGAACCTGTTAGAAAAGCAGTGTCCCATTCTTAATAACAGAATTGTGTCTAGCTTATTGCTGCAGTGTTACCTGTAGGTACATTTGTGTCACCAACACTCTCTATATGACTCATCTATTTACCTAGTTCCTAACTACCTTTGGCTGCCAGGGGGAGGGTAAAGAAAACAAACATAGACTGTGACAAGTATAACATCATTATTTTCCACATCCATTTTTTATGCTAGTTCCTCTTTTGCTTTCAACATCATGTTCTGGGTTCTAGATTGAATTTCCGTAAGAGTATAGTGGACGCAGTGGAGGCTATGGAACTAGAAGTCAGGCCACTAAAATCCGACTGTAGCTTTACTGATAAACATCAGTGTCACCTTAGGCAAGTCAGTAAACTCTTCTTAGATTCTTGTTCTCTTGTCTGTAAAAGGAAAAGTTTAGAGGAGGTGACAGAATTACTGCCCTAGGACCCAAGCAGGTGACAAATTCTGTGATAGAGTCTGTGGAAGACACTAGGGAGTGGTGAGGCTTATGGCCAAACTGGGCAGTTTATGCTTTCTTTAAAAACATTCCAATTTCTGGGGGTACCTGAATGGCTCAGTGACTTAAGTGTCCAACTCTTGGTTTTGGCTCAGGTAATGATCTCAGGGGCATGAGATCAAGCCCTGTGTTGGGCTCCATGCTCAGTGCAGAGTCTGCTTGAGATCCCCTCTCTCCTTCTCTCTCCCTGTGCCCCTCCCCACCACTCACACATGCATTCTCTCTCTCTCTCTCAAATAAATAAAATAAATCTTAAAAAAAATAAAAACCTTCCAGTTTCTTTATTTTTCTTCACCCTTCCTCCCACATTTAGTTAGAAAAATACACCTGAGAACCTGGTTCCCCCTGCAGGGCTTTCTATCAGGCTCCTGCACCACTAATA